CTTTAATAGGTACTGTCTATCTGTGCATTTCCTAGTTAATAGTGATATTGAATGTTCATATACAAAAATACGTATCTTGATTCATCCTAGTTATAAAGATAAGTCAAAATGAATCATAGAGCTAAAAGTAATAGTATCATATTTAAGTTTTCTAGAGGAGAATGTAGAAGAAAAAGATTTTATCTTGCTTTGGGAGCAATTTCTTAAATATAAAATAAAAAAGATAAACTACAAAGCATCAATTAACAAGCAGGGGTTTAACAAAAGTAAAAATTTTGCTCTTTAAAAGATGCTTAGTAACTAAAAACACCGCTCCACAGTTTGCAGGATGTGAAGGAGGTGAATACGTTGCTCCTTTAGTTTCTCATATCTACAAAGAAAAGGCTCTGAACTTGAGGAGTTCCCTTCATGTAGTGCAGTGAGAACGTTCATGCAAACGTAGAAGCAGCTTAGATGGTGCGGTTCTGGATTCTGAGCTGTTATTTTAATAGGATGAAAGTTTTGAGGGCCTTGGGACAGGATGAGTATAATTTGTATATGGAAGGAATATAAATAATTTATGACTGAGGATAATCAATGATGATTTTAAAGATACATCCACAAATTCTTGTTTTGTTGAGACAGGGTTTTGCTACTATGTTCCTGTTTCAGCCTCCCAAGTGCTGGGATTACAGGCCTGTGCCACCACATCCATCTCACAAATTCTTTAATACGTCTCTAAATGTAAACTGGACCTAGTGACTTCCTTACAAGGAAGAGGACAGGGTGGCAGTGATGGTGTGAAATACAGAAGGACCCTGGCTTCTCTCTCTGTGTTCTCTCAGATCACTTGCAGCAGAGGCACACATTAGTGAGCACCCTTACAGAGATTCTTGCAGCAAGCTGCTGAGCTTCCATCCAAAAGCCATTAAAGTTTGGAAATTTCTACCGCCAGTTAAATTTCTGAAACTGTAAAATTGGCCAACAGGTTGACCATGCTTCGTTAGGGATCTTTTCGTGGCTTACCTCTAGGTATATTCAAAAGCCTCATGTGGTCATAGTGGGGCTTTTTCAGAGGCGGATGAATGTAGAGTGTATGATGTTGGAATGAAGGGTGTGTAATGACTAAATTAGTCCACTGATTGAGCTGGCATAGTTCTGGGTAGGATCATGGATGCCCCGCCTGGGCTGTGAATGTTACCTGTCCTAAGGGCATGTAGCCTGGACAGGATGTGAGGGACAGAAAAGGCTTTTTGTTTATCTCGTGTCTTGCTTTGGGGCCTTCTGCCTGCCATGAACTGTTTCTCCTTTGTGATGCCCTTTGCCATGCCACCCTGCTGCCCAGCTAGCCATCTTCACACTGAAATTTCTTCAAACCGTGAGCCAAATAAACTTTTCTTTCTTTAAATTGTGTGTCAGATATTGTGTATCAGCAATGCGAAAAATAACTAACATAGACCCTGAGCCAGAAATTCCCAGTTTAGCCAGTCTTGTATTCTGTCCTTCACAAACTGTGTGAGGTGATAAATGTTTGTTGCTTGAAATAGCTAAGAGTGTAGGAATAGGTTGTATGCGCTCTGCTGGCCATGTGGTGAGCTCCTCTCTGGGACTCCAGTTTGTAAATTTTTGCTACCATGTGCTACTCTCTCAATTCACTCAGGTCTGGAACTGCCTTCAGGTATCAACTGGGGAAGTTTTTGTGATCATTTCATTTGTTTTTCTTCTCTTATGGGTCACAAATCTAGGTTTTTTTTTTTTTTTTTTTTTTTTTTTTTTTTTTTTTAAGGCGTAAAAGCATTTAAGATTAATTTCAAGTTGGGAGCGGCTTGGTGTCAATCAGTGAGAAGAATAAGAAAGACTGACAGGCATGAAGCCAGCTTTATAAATAGAGCAACGTGGTTATAAAATGCCACATGCAAGCACCTTGTGCATAAGAACAGTTGGTTCCACTTACTTGGATGCTTCATTATTTACCTCTGCTCTTTCTCTGAGACTGCAAAAGCAGTTCTTGGTTATGCCACTTCGCATCTGGCGACTTATGTGGTGACCTAATCTAACCAGCACGCTGTCCCCATCCGCTCTGGTCTTTCAAGGTTGGTCACAAGCCTGCTCCAGGCCTGCTTCTTCTCTTCCATTTTATCACATATGATTTCTCAGTTTCCATTAGGCAAGCACTTTCCTTCAAAACCATCCCTTGTCGATGCATTTTTAGCTGATATTCTTATTTGTACATCTAAGGCTTTGGTGAGTAGAGCACAAAGTTTCTCAGATGTCATTCCTCACGCAGGCTCGTTCCTCTGTAAGCCAAATAAATCCCATTGCTTGTAGCTGATCTGTGTGGAGCTAGCACTGTAACTCAGGGTCAAGGAATTGGAATTGGAATAAAATATCAAAAATCAATTGCCCTCAGTTTGTAAAGCATTGTGGAGAATTTCTGGAGAATTTCCATGCTTGTTCAGTGCATCCTGCAATTAGGTGGGGTGATGTGCAAAAGATACACAAAGGAAACCATTTCTAGTTTTCAAAATATTGGTACCCAACTAGTTGAAATAGGTAGTTTTGTTAATTCAACCCAGATGATTTATAAAGTCTTTGAAAATATATAAATAAATTATAACATCATTTCTAAAGAAAGAAAGAGAAGAGCTGTCTGAGACTTAGGTAAATCTTTCTTAACAATAAACATTAACCTCTTCTTTTGTTTTTTCATCGGAACCAGGGATCAAACTCACGACCACCTGCTTATAAGGCAGTGCTTATGCCGCTGAGCTAAATCCCCAGCCCCTTGAAAATTAACTTCTTGAAAGACCCTTGATAGAGATTGCATATGAGGGGAGATGAGGGAAAAAAGTGGCAATCTGTGCTTGGAAACATTTTTAAATTAACTGTATAGATCATTTAGTTTTAACAAATCACAAATGTATTCCAGTAAATGTACAATCTAATACAGATTTCTTACTCTCACATCTTTGTTGTTAAAAATATCTGTGCAAAAAAATGGACACTGTGTCACATGCGTATAATCCCAGCTACTCAGGAGACTGAGGAAGAATATCAAATTTGAGGCCAAGCTGGGAAACTTTGAGATTTTGAGAAACATATCTGTGTGTGTGTGTGTGTGTGTGTGTGTGTGTGTGTGTGTGTGTGTATGAAATTGAAGACATTTTAGAAGAGGTGTTTTATTGAAACTAGCTTTCAATCTTAATAGTTTGATATACTTCTTTAAAATAAAGAACCTTTGATTTTTTTTTTAATTTAGTTTTAAGCCTATGCAATTGAGTCCCCCAGGGTTTGGGGAGAGGGGAGCCCTGTAGGTTCCCTAACCTGGATACTTCTAGGTTCCTCCAGTTTTAGAGATACTTACAAGGCAAGATTTGCAGGCAGAACAGTCTTGAACAACTCACCTAGCTTGACTTAGTTCTTAACCTCTGGACAATTCAAAGGAAGTACTCCCGGACACGGCTTATTCAGAAATGGGTTTCCTTTGAAATAAGATCATCAGCCTCCCCTAGAGGGATAACAGTCACCCTTGACACCAGGAACAGAAGGTAAAACAACAAAGGACTTGGAGAATCAACCTCAGTCTTGAAATTTTTAACTGACTTTTTGTGAAATTTCATTCCTAGCTGTCTGGCCCAGGGCTGGAAAAACAAAGGACAGGTAAGTTAGCGCTATCATCCTCCTATCTGATGAGAAAATCTGGATGTCTGAAGGAGAAATGTGGAGTGCCTGCAAAGGAGGAGGGATCTGTGGTGTCGAGTGGCCCCCAGGGAGGACAGAAATAGCACAAATATATGTTTTTTTAATGTGTGAAATAAAGCACAAAGAACACAATCTCACCTGGCCTCAAAGCTTTAAAATACAGCATTTCACGTTGATCGCCTTGATCTTCTTCTAAAGAAGAGGGGGCGGGGGAGAAACTGATACCATTGATGAATGGGGCGCAGAAGTGATAAGGCGGGACAGGGGGCCTGTGAGACTGCAGGATGTGCACCGTCCTGCCCGGGAACCTTTGAAGTACTCTCCGTGACGAATCACATTATCTCCACGCTGACACAGCCCAGAGAGACAAAGATGGGAAGACAAATCAAAGGTCCCCAGTAAACGAGCCTGCAATTCTGAGCTCAAGTCTGCACTGAGTTTTGCTTTGTGTGCTGGACGGATGGTGTAGAAATAAAGAAAAAAAAAAAAAAAAAAAAAAAAAAGGCGCTGGCACAAAAGAGAGCCAGGGGGAGCGCAGCTACCTGAGCACGCCCGGGGGTGGGGCGGAGGGCCGAAGGTGGGGATGCAAATGGAGCCTTTTGGAATGGCCAATCAGGAGTCAGGTGAGAGGATTTGGGTCCCCAGCCATCCCGGCCCAGAGAGTGAGCACATGTGCTGTGCTCTGGGACCTTTGTCCCGCAACGTCACGCTTGGCTGAACTCCTGCGTGCATTCTGCGTGTCTGCTCCTCAGGATTCTTCCCTTCCACACCCCGCGCCGTGCAGCGCGTCCTGCTGACCCCGCCTCACCCCGGCGGTCCTTCGGTCCGAGCTCCAGCTCTCAGCGCTGCGTCCCGGGAGCGTGCGGAGCTTGGCACGCGCGGGCTGGGGCCGGGCGGGCGCCGCCTCCTCCTCGCGTGCGTCGCGCGGTGCAGCCAGAGCCTGGCGCGGACTCCGTGGCGCTCCCGCCCGGCCGGTCCGGTCCCGGGGCGGCACTGCGCGCCCTGCGCCTGCGGCTCCCTCTCTGCTGAGTGCGGGTCTGTACTGCTGGGCCCCGGCGCCAGCCCGCTCGGTCTCAGGAGCTCCTGCAACGTGGAGAACACAGAAGATAGATCCATCACCTAACTCGCCAGGGAGCCGGGCGCTGCGGGGCTGCCGCACTGCCTCCTCGCTCCTCCCCAACCCCCGCCGGGGCTCTGGAGGCCTCTGGGACTCTCTCGCCCGACCCTCCAGACCCCTACCCACGACAGACAAAGAGCCTGGGCAAGTTCGCCGCCCGTCCCGAGCGCTCCAGGAGCGGCTGTGCCCGCGGCGGATCGCAGTGGGGGCGCGCGCGGGGCCAGGAGCCACGGCCGCCAAGCGCGGTCTGGGGAGAGCCCGAGATGCGCCTGCTTCGAGCCTGCTGCTGTCTTCTCTACCGGTTGGGGCTCCTCTCCCTCGGGATCGGTTCAGGTAAGTGCTTCAGTGACTTTCCTGCTTCCTGTCTAGCTTCCCCAGTGGACACTGGGAACGCGCCGGTAGGCAGGGCCGGTGCAATGGGTGCACGGCGAGTGGACTCCGGGGATGGCAACCAAAGCTTTCTCGCGGGCGTGGGGCTCCAGCCCTGAGGCGAAACGCTCATCTCCCGGCTGCATTGCAACTGTGCAATGATCCGTTTTTCCCTATAGTAGTGCTGTTTGTAAAGGTATGTTTCAGCATCTGGAAGAAAAGTGGGGGTTACATTCTGGGTGTACGCTTTGCAAATCACTTGTGTTGGAGTCTTTGCACCAGTTTTCATCAACTAAGTGCAGTCACCAAAATTGAGGCCCGCTCCCTCTCCCACTCACACGTTATGTACTTTGGGGTCTGTAATCTGATCGCCAGACTTGAGTGTTTGCAAGCGTTTGAGGAGCTAGGCGGGTGGTCTGCATCGCGTTCCAGTGAGCCCCAGAGTCTCTGTGGATCGGGACCCTGGGAATGCTGATGCTACTGCAACCGCGGCACTTTAAGCCCCGCACTTCTCTGCCCCGCCTGCAGGACTGCAGTTCGCCCCCGACAGCGAGGAGTGGGAAGTCGTGTTTCCTGCACTCTGGCGCCGGGAGCCGGTGGACGCAGCCGGCGGCAGCGGGAGCAGCGCAGACCCCGGCTGGGCGCGCGGCGGAGGTGCCCGGGCGCAGGCTGCCAGCAGCTCCCGCGAGGTGCGCTCGGTGGCCCCGGCGCCGCTGGCCGAGCCCGCGGAGGGGCAGGCCGAGCCCCGGTTCCGGCCTCCGCCGCCGCCGGGGGGTGAGGAGGACGAGGAGCTCGAGTCGCAGGAGCTGCCGCGGGGATCCGGCGGCGCGGCCGTCCTGTCCCCGGGCGCCCCGGCCTCGTGGCAGCCGCCCCCATCCCCGCCCCCGGCCCAGCGAGGCGAGCCGGACAGCGACGAGGTGCTGCTGAGGGTCCCCGCCTTCTCCCGGGACCTGTACCTGCTGCTCCGGAGGGACGGCCGCTTCCTGGCATCGCGCTTCGCCGTGGAACAGTGGCCACAGCCGGGCCCCGGCCCCACGCGGACGGCGTCCGCCCCGCACCCGCCCGCGCCCCCCGACGCCGCCTGCTTTTACACCGGGGCGGTGCTGCGGCACCCCGGCTCGCTGGCCTCTTTCAGCACCTGTGGAGGTGGCCTGGTAAGCGTCTTCCTTTGCTATCTCCAGCCTTCCCTGCTGCTCCCCTCCTGCCAGGCTCCTGTGCATGCACCGACCCTGCCCCTTCAGCGTCTTCTTTCTGAGTTTAACCTCGCTCTGCCCTACCCGGGTGCCCCCCTCGGTGGCCCGCATTGAGACATGGACAGGCCAGACTAGGCGTGAAAGTCTCATTAGGTGTATAGATTGGAGACTTCTGGGTGACTCTCCCTGCCTTTGATACTATGTGAAATTGTATCTCCTTGTTACTTCTTGTCAATCGTGCACCTTCCTTCTGTTCTCTTGTGTTTCTAAAATAAACCCATCACGTGATATGGTTCAGCATATTGAAAGGAACCAGTCTGCGTCCTCCTGTATCTCTTCCCCATTCAAAGGTCCTCATCTGTTCTCTGGGCTTGTTTTTCTGGTCCCGCTGCAAAGTTGTGAGAACACTTGGAAATTGCACTCTGACAGCTGTCTAGAATTTGAACACATCCGCAGGCGTGCTAGACACCTGTTGCCTGATCCTGTCCAAGGCAAGAGTGGATGGAGACCGTGTCCAGGGAGAGATCCGCGCTGTTGTTGAGGACGTGGCACTGGAATCCACTTAGTATTCAAAGACTCAGAGCTCTGTGACCTGACATTTTGTTTTCTGAGGTTTACTTTTTATTTGACAGCACTTCATGTACACGAGTACCAAGTAGCCTTGCTAAGAGGCCTGGGTGGGGGGATTTGGACAGTAAAAAAGCCACTTGCTCTGTTAATGTAAACTGCTCAGTTTCTTAGTTTCTTTCTTTCTTCTTTCTCTCTCTCTCTCTCTCTCTCTCTCTCTCTCTCTCTTTTTCTTTCTTTCTGTTGTTTTTTACCTGGGTGGAGCAAAGCTTTGGAATAATTATTGCTTTCCATAAGTTAGCCGCTGAGTTTGGGCGAGGGGATAAAATACATAAAAATCACCTTTTGTACAAGTTAGTGGAATTAAGTAAATTAAATAAATCAAACTGAAAATTTTTACCTATGCCTCTCTAAAATCCAGTAGTCAAATGAAGTAAACTGCTGGGCAGGGCTGTTGATAAAGGTGAATATACAAATATGAATATTTTAGGTGTCAGTGAAAAAAAATGGCACGGAACAATTACATGAAAATCTTTTAAAAATCTTTTAAAAAGGAAAATAATTTATTTATTTAGTTTTCTGTGTATGTGTGTAACTGATGCTTGGAGAAAATATTTTGTAGTGATTTCATTGTCCACTAGCTTTTGGCTAGAGATTAAATAATTATGTATAGAAAGTTCCTGGTGTGGTAGTAGCCATAGATGATGAAACATTTCACTGTGTTGAAATGTGGGCTTTTGGTTAGATTTTCTCGATGAGCTGTGTCTTCTTATTATCCTTAAGGAAGCAAAGTTAGAATTACGAGTAGATTTCTCATGGACTGAATGGGAGTTTGCCACATCTCCTGGTTTATCATGTTGGATTCCTTCTCACTTTTCCTTTTAGCCTCTTATGTATATTTCTGAACTTGGAAATCTTTGTTATTTTGGAAAACTGACATTGCCAGCAATGCAGTATAGCAGTCAGATTGTGGGCAAAAATGTTAGGCAAACAACCTAGAAGGGTGGGTTTGTTATCCAGGTTCTGCTGTCCCAACCCCCTTCCCTTTTGAGCCAATGCATTAAAAAACAGAGAGTACAATTTGTTATCTAAGCTGTGGCATTTAGACACACATTCCCTACCTTGCTTATAAGTAAAATGAATTAAATGATTGAATTTAAAATTGGGTGTTATAAGTAGGATCCTGTTAAACACATTTTAAGTTCTGTATTAGATACTAGAATGTCCTGCCTTTAGGAGCTCACAGGTGAGAAGGGCTGGATATCCAAGTGGATGTCACACAGGAGTCATGAAACAGTGACATGCCCTCCTGGTGAATCAACTATTTTGCTTGGTGATACAACAGTAGAAGGCGTCTAACTGAGAGCTGCAGCATGAGGAGACTTTATCCAGGCAAAAGTAAAAGAAAGGAGGAGGAGGAGATGGCTGAAGAGTCAGGTAGAGGGAAGGCGCCCAATGGAGATGTGAGGGTTTGGATCTTGGTAAGAAAACAAACAGAATATCGACACTGAAAAATCCTTCTATGATTAGGTCAAGGATGTGCTGAGAATAGGCCAATGGCGAGAGTGCCACAGTGGGCTGTTATGCCACTGGAAGCTCTTAAGGTTTGCCATCACTGTGGAGCTAGGCCTGCAGGAGCCTCTTGTGACAGTGGAGAGGTGGTGTCAAACAGTGAGAGTTTATCAGCCTATGTTCATGCTGCCCTACATTGTTAGAATTCTGTGATCCTGTTATTCTAGTGGAAAACCTTAAAATATTTTTATAGATGAGATGAAATATTTATGAATACAAATGGCTTTAATTTAGAAAAATATTTTTCTTAAAGTTTTGTGTTTTCCAGTTGCTCAGTAAAGACACCACTACATGTACCATTCTTTCTCTCTCTCTAAGACTAGTTTTGCCTAGGACTTAATGTTTTAGCTTAAATTATACTTTTGTATCTAGCAACTAGTCTATATGCTCTTTCCTGTGGCAAGTTTTGAACAAGCCTATTTGGGGCACCTTTTACTTTAGACAAGTCGTAGTGTCAAGAACCAATTTGAGATCAGGTACCAGAGCAGTGATGAAGGAAGAAATGCATGATGGGATAGGATGCAAAGGCCTCTCTCTATAAGAGGAAATAGATCCTCGGTATCCAGTGGCAGACATTTATAAGGTTGGTTGTTATTCTCCGGATATTAATTAATATTTTATCAAAAGTGCCAGAATAAAGACTTTTTTGATGTGTACTATCTCATCAAGTACTTAATTTTTCTTGATCTTATATTTATAAAATATACAAATCATACTTTCCTATCTAGCAAGTCTTTGAAGTGCTATTTCCCTATTCTCACTTTTACTGAATGATAATCTTATTCAAGCTATATAGTAGATTGGATAGGCACATGAATATCATGACAGTAAGCAATTAAGCATATATTGAACAATTCTTATGACAAAGGCATTTTGCAGATACAGAAAATACAGAGAGCTGTAGATGAAGAAGCTGTGGTATGTTTCAAGGAGCTCTCCGTCCAATGTTCCAGTCACAAATGTAAACAGGAATGCAATAGACTGAGGTATGTGCAAATAGACATGCTCAGAGAGTAATAATTTGCTCTTTCTTTTGCATTTTCAACATGTTGTAAAAGGTCCAGCTTCTGGTGGACACTAAGTGAAATCACTGACTGATAATAACATCTAAAATATTTTATTACATTTTAAATGATAGTCTTTGAATGAATAAAATACATAAAAGTAACATTTCGAAACAGTGGAGCAATTATGTTTTCTGACAACACACAATGCTCTTTTTAAAAAAAAAATTGCATCTAAGCACTGAACTGAATTTAACAGATACTTTGCCTATGGCTGGCTACTTAGATTATTTTTGCAAGATGATGATTAATGGCTGTTAAGTCTTTTACTACTTACTTAAATGAAGATATAGAATATATATAGAATATATATTGATATAGAATCTGGAGCTTTGTATATTTTCTTTCTTTTTTTTTTTTTAACTTTATCAAAGTAAGCTGTGCTGTGGCGAGTTTTGAATAAGCCCATTTTAGGTTGCTTCACGTTAGACAGAACCAGTGAGAGAGGTATCAGGGCAGCAGTGAAGGAAGAAATGCATGACAAGAACAAATGGAATTGACATTTGAATGAAAAGGCAAAGATTACAGATTGGTCTCCTGCATTAACCTTCTTCCCAAAGCCATGTTTTAGAACACGCAGAAAAGATATGCTTAAAAAATGAATATTTGCATTTTTAAGTGAATGTCATTAGTATATCAAAGAGTATATCATGAAAGATTGGAAAAGTTTGGCTTCCATTAATGAAAACATGTAGACTTCAGAAAACATGCATGAACTGCCAGAAGGAGCTGTTTGCATTCAAGGAGGGAGAGTAGGAGATGCAGAAGGGAACCTGGAGAATGGCAGGTTGATTATGCCAGCCATTGGAGGCCACGTGTGTGTCCTTGGGCAAGAGAAGAAAAGGTAAAGACACAGCTTTCCTGGGCATGTTGGTGATACTCGGAGCATAGAAAGCACCCACTCTTTAGAAGACGAACTACTGTTTCTGTCTGTACCCATTAGAAGGGTCTGCCATCTCCAAATAACTGGAATAGAAGTTGTCAGGTGTGATAGTCAAAGATTGGTGAGCAGGAAGAAAAAAAGACGAGACAGCTCCCAAGAAAATGATACTTCTAGGATGTGAACTATATAAAAGAGCTATCAGTTACTGCCTAACTGATACAAGAGGCAACAAGATCAATAGAATAAATAGAATAATGGAACTGTACTTCTCAGAGAAATAAGAACAGATATATATTCGTGGAAAAATACATTTAAAAAATTGGGAAAATTGCTCCGCATAAAAAATGATGGGATACAATGGTGCTGAAATTGTATGGACACTAGAAAAAGCTAAATTCAGTGTACAAACTGATAGGTAAATTTGTGACCTGGAAGATCAAACCCAGAAATAATTTCAGAGCATCATACAAAAACAAATTGATACAATATAGGAAAGAACAGTTGTCAGCCAAGAGTCATGGGTCTAGATTTAACATTTTTATAATAGTCATTTTAAAAAAATCAGTTAAAGTTTCTGAATTGCATTCATTTGCATGGGACTCACCTGCCGCACTTTGGATATAATGCCATAGATGACATTTTTGTTTTATTTTTTGTTTCTTGAGACAGGATCTTACTCTGTAATACAGGCTGCCCTTGAAATCATTATGTAGCTCATGCTGGCCTCAAACTCATGGCAGTCCTCTTGCCTTAGCCATCAGGGTCCTGGGGTCAGAGGTGTAGGCTACCATGTCCAGTTTAGACTACTCTTTTGAACGTAGGTCAGATATATGTTGTTCCAGTTGAGCCTTTCTCAGCATACACCAGCATCACTT